TGCGTTTGAGGCCAGGAATTTTGAAAATGAAAATAAGCTTTGAAATAATTAATTCAGAGTTTTTTGTGTTTTCTTTTATTTGCCTCATCAGAGGATTTATTAGGTATAGATCGTTTACATTCAAAGATACAGTGATACAAACCAAAATTACATATTCACAAATACATACATACTCATAATTTAATCAGAGTTACTGTTACAGTGGTTTATACAGAATAAAGAGTCTGGCAGAGACGGGTTTAACGTACATCTAGTCAACCTTCAGTTTTTGAATACGAGTCAATCTTTCCTTCAAAAAGTGATAAAGTTTTCTCTCAATAAACAGATGTGGACGAATGTGCAACTTATCCTTGTGAAAATGAGGGAACCTGTCAGAACGGGGAAGGCTCATATACATGCCAGTGTATTAGAGGAAGGGAAGGCCAGAATTGTGAAATTGGTAATACTTTCTAATTTTTTTCAGTGACGTATATTACAAAAGTTAGGCTGAATGATCATGGTTTATAAAAAACACAATTACAATGTACATAGTGCACTTTAATTTATTTGGATTTTTACTCTTACTCGTGTACATTTCATCTTGGCAATCGTAAGGTACGTATTATAGAGACCTAATTCCATTTGCAATATATTATTTATTTCTATTCCTGTAACTTCATTCTGACTTGAAACAACATTTTTTTTCTTGCATCATTTCCTTTTTATCCGCACTCTTCTTTGCGATGAGAAATACACAGCTAAGTAGAAAATGAAATAAATTCCAGAGGTGATGATACCATAACAGAAAGATGGTAAAGTATGAAAATATACATGTATAAAATTATACAAAGGAAGAGGGAAAGAAAGAGAGAGAGGGAACATTGTGGTAATGGGAAACGTCTTCCCTGCACGTATCCATTGTTTTCATTGTCTTAGTTGCGCGTGTCTGACGCGAAGGCAATCTGAAAGTAATCAAGTAATCGAGAAATCGGACTCCAAAGGAACAAGGCATGAGATCGCAATATACACTTACCCAGAAGCGTATGCAGAGGGGGGGGGGGGGGGGGAACCCCCATCAATTTGTTTTATGTGTGTGTTTTGGAAGAAACTCCCCTCAAACTTTGTTTGTAAACAAAAAAAGTAACCTTACCCCCCCCCCCTAACTGAACGAAATATCGGTGCGCTAAATTGAAAATTTCCGGGACAAAAAAAAAGTGTGCTCTTACCCCCCCCCCCCCCCCGCTTATTCGCTTATTCACCGGCTGGCTGAGTCGTTGCAAAAATTTTGGCGCGATTTTCTAATGTTAACCCCCCCCCCCCCCCCCCTCTCGAAAAATTACTGTACATACCTATATTAATCTTCAATTCAGAATTTCCCTCTTGTTGTATTGAACGTCCGAAGCATGAAATCTTTGTTTAATATATTTCTGTAAAAAAAATGTATGTATAGTAATTACGTACGAGTATATGTTTATCATATATATATATTTACATGTATATGTATTTTTTTCAATAGATATCAATGAATGTGAAACAACTCCTTGCCAGAATTCAGGTTTCTGTATCAACAACGACGGTTCTTTCACATGTGACTGTAGGCTCACGGGACATGAAGGGCCCATCTGTGATAATGGTAAGAATGATCAATAATAATTCAGTTTTATTTACCTAGGGTAGGCAAATTATTTATCCTGCTCTTCTCTCGGGCCTCAAAGTTTTCATTACCAAAGCATTGCACCAATTGACTCGATCAATGAGAAGGGGGGATCTGGGTCTAATATTTTCAGTCTCCAAAAATCAAAGTACCTAGCTTGTTCAAACTCGTCACCTCTCTTGTAACAGTCAAGAGTCTCCACCAGTATATCATAGTACTCCTACTAGGGGTGTATCGGAAGAGATTACCCGATTCTTTACATTTCATATGCAGACAAGACATTCGAATCGTTTTTTTAATCATAATTATTTCAGTTGTCGTTATAGATATGTGTCAAGTTTTACATGGTTTTAAACATTCTGCCAATGACGATAAACGCACCCAAGTACTCAAGATTACCGATTTTTGTATTTTATTTTCCAGTGTAACCTTAATGTGATAAGCAGACTCAATACATCATTGGTTGAGATAATTTCAACATGTAGTTTAAGCTTCTACCAACCTCAAAACCGCACTCCAAGAAATAACTTGTTATTTGTATTTATTATATTCTCGCCCATTAATTTACAAAGTGTTTGAGAGAGGTATAAAGCAGGAACAATGTACAGTTTCTCAGCACGACATAGGCATCACCATTTTCTGATAACGTGACGTAATATGTGAAATCGTTTATCAAGTAAATGTGTTCAAATTTATGGATGCTTCCTTTTTCAGGTGTGTGTGGTGATGAAGCATTTCATTTACCTGCTATTATATAACATCTGCTAGAACGCAGATTGCATAAATAAGTGGTGCTATTCTGGGTTGAAGGTTTCATATAAGTGAAATAGATTTGTCAACTGCTACATTTTAGGATTTCTAAATGAATTAGTTACAATTCTTCCCCTGCTTTATGTTTTTCTCCAAATATAATTTCCATCTTCTCAGCCATAATTCTTCCTCATTGAAAAGTAAAGGTTTTGTTATTGATTTTAAAAATATTTCCAACAAAAGCTTGGTGCATGATACATGTCCATCTTCATCTGGTACGTCACATTTCCAATAAAATGGCTGTACCCATGTTATGCTAAAAGGCATCACATCATGCCAAGAACAGCTTTATTTATATATCTCTTGTACATTGTCGTAATAGATATTGTATATCAAAGAGCAGGAATACATCTATTTTTTTAGAATACCTTAATTAATCCTTGGGGTGAGGTTTCCATTAACATTTAGTAGGGCGTCAGTATAAGCTTGTTTATGGTGCCCTCTACCCGTTTTGTGCCATAACGCCAATTTAAACCAATGAGATAACCAAATGAACAAACAATGAATGAAATAACATATTGCATGTTGAGCATCATACCAAAAGACGTTAAAAGATGGGAGTTGTTGCTACCTTATTTGGCGTTCAACAATAAGGGATAGAGCAACGTCGATCTGGTGCTGCTCAGTGGCTGCCGGGCTCAAGATCAATGGGGCAAAAAGAATTTCCGTTTCGGTTTAATAAAATTTGGAGTGGACTAATAGGCTATTATTATTATTATTATTTGGCATGAAAGACAATTCTGTCCAAGGGTGTCGATTTGTATCCTCGGTTGGGGGGGATGATAGGTGCCAAAATATTTTTGGCAATGGATCAAAGCAACCAAGAGGTAGAAGCGTGTAGCGGGTTGCACCCCCTCCCTTCCAAGTTATTACCTTTTTCAAGTCACCCTCAAAAACGATAACATTTCAGAGAATATGGGACCCACGTGGGTCCCACATGGGCTTGCTACCTGGTTATTATCCTCTCAAGCATATAGTCAGGATTTTATTTTAGGGGGGCGGTAGTGAGCACCTCCTAGGGGGTGGGTGCGGGGAGGGAAGTCCCCCCCCCCCCCCCCTCCCGCGCGAAGCGCGGAAGCTCTGACGTTTCATTAAATTATTAAAGAAAGAAGACGATTCGTTGTACCATTCTCGACTCTTAATCCTTGTCTGAATTCAGTTCCCCCCCCCTTCCCGCGCAAAGCGCGGAAGCTCTGACGTTTCCATAAATTATTGAAGAAAGAAGACGATTTGTTGTACCATTGTCGACTCCTAATCCCTGTCTGAATTCAGTTCCCCCCCTTCCCGCGCAAAGCGCGGAAGCTTTGACTTTTCATTAAATTATTAGAGAAAGAAAACGATTCGTTGTACCGTTCTCGACTCTTAATCCTTTTTCTTCCTACGTCCTTTTCCTTTCTTCTTTCTCTTTTTTTTGTTTTTTGGTCGGCGTTTTTTTTTTTGGGGGGGGGGGGGCGACCGCCCCCACCACCCCCTGGCTACGCCCCTGTATCGTCTCTGTCTCTCATTAAATCTCTCTCTCCCACTTTCTTCTTCTTCTTTTTGCACTTTTGCGCTTCGCGCTTAACATTTACTAAGCTCTTTGGTTTTTAACGCTGGGGCTTTGCATTTGGCGCACTGCCTTTCTATGATGCTGTTGATTGAATAAATTGAATAAATTCATCAATTCCTGATGAAGCCTTATGAGCGAGAATTTAATTTATTCTTGTCTCATATACGGTCGCCTCATTTACTTCGTTTTCTATTTATATAGGTATGTATTATGAAAATGAGATAGCAAAATGTGTATATTGATGGTCATCTTGCGAGTAATAACCATTAACTACTCTCATCGGGCTGTCATCTTTAATTTTTCTTTTTTTTTGTTTTTTTGATGGTGAATTATTAGGGGGGGGTGATTGTACAGGCCATCCCCCCCCCCCACCTAAAATATTGGGTGGATATATCCCCCCATCCCCCGGGATCGACACCCATGATTCTGTCACAATGTAGGCCTTATTTTGGCTTTTTAAAAAAGAAGGGATTTTTGTTTACCCGGTTCGACTTAGATCAGATACCTATTCTTTTGTTTATGCCATTAATATCATCTTCTTTTGCAATTTTTTAATTTAAATATATAATTTTGCTGTTTTATAATTTTCTCAAATGTAATTATAGAACCAGATATTGTATTGTATACCGAGACCCTGTTTACAAGCAACTTGCTTACTTGCTTACTAAGGGAATCCCTCTATTTTTATGTTCATATTATTATGTTAATACAATGTGTTAATATTATGTTATACTTGTATTTTTTTTTAAAGATGGACGAATACATTGAGTTTAATTGAATCTAATTGAATACAAATTCTTTTCACAATATTTTGGCAGATATTTATAAGTGTGGAGGAATAAGGTCTCAGTTCAATAACCTAAATTGAACCTTCAACAACTTTTCTTTTAATAGTCTATTCTCTTTCTGAAATTCGTCACTGCCTAATTTCATAGGAGTCGTTATCCATTTTGTTTGCCCTTTTTTCGGCAGATATTGACGAATGCGAAGGAGTGACGTGTGCTAACGATGGCACGTGTCAGGACGGGATTAATGAGTTCACTTGCGTCTGTCCACCCGGATGGGGAGGAGATCTATGTGATAGAGGTATGTTTACCCACACGATCCTGTGTCCGGACAGGTTGGTTAAATATCTCGATATATCAATCCAGAAAGTAAATATAATTCTTCTGGATACAAGCCTCATGAAATCTGTATGCTGACTAACCTGTACATGAAAAAAATATTCACATCAATTAGTGCCATCATCTTTGCAAAATCTAACAGCTTTAGTTTAGTTCAGATTCATCCCCCTCCTATCACCGCCTATGTCTGGATAGGTTGGTTATCCGGACGGTAATTGACGTCAGGCAGTTATTCTGAGAAGTTTACATGCAATATTTCATATGAAGGAAAATTACTTATGATGGCTCGAGCTATCTGATCCATATATAACGATAAATTTAAAAGGAGGAAGTGACAGCATTAGTTTGTTTTTCGTCCGGACAACCCCCTACCCACCATTACAATAAACGCGCCAATGCATTCTACATGTGAACTCACTTTCAAGTCCAGTCGTTCATGTAAACATGAATACATATGTTGAATCTGTATACTAGTGGACGTGTTAACATGATGTCTTATACTGTAGAAGCATAGCGATTTCGTAACAGCTCAAACTACAAATGAGATTGCGTTTTTTAAGATATACTTGAGTTCTGGTCATGCAAGAAGATTATAAGATTCGTATTTTCCTGCTAACATAACATTAAAAAAAAAAATCCTTATTTTTATGCCAAATTGCAAAAATGTTTAAACCTTTACACTGTATATCAAACCGAATTGAAATATATTCTTACTAGTTATCCAATGTTTAAAAAAAAATGTCAGATAATTATTTTCAAACCCACTTTTTCATAGCAATATTTTGGGGAAAAATATACCACAGAGATTACCTTTGCATATGATATAGCTTAAACATTTTTATATTTTGCTGATGTTGACGGTAACCTAAATTGTAGACTTGTAAAGAGAATGGTTTACAATCCCTTGTATACCTATTTTGCAACATCAGCATAGATTCTTTGATATGTTAATAATTGTATGGGGCACAATCTTCTTGTTTTTCGAGTTCTTTTTAAAAAATAAATTTAATCAATATCTCGGATGTCTGTTCTTTTTTTGTGTTGCCTAGTTTTTGTGACAATTCGGAGTGACGCATAAATAGGCCTACTTTGTACTTGCATAATAAAAAAAACTGATTAAAGACAACCTTAAGTTCTGGGGAAAGTATATTTTGGGGTGTTTTCACATTTTGTTTCCTTCTCAGTTAGGAAGAATGTTATAACTTTTTAAAAGGATCCCTGAAAGGGGTTGATAGTCAAAGGCCTTTATAATTTATATTAGTAATGACAAGAAATAGCTGAAGTGTTCGGGCTGAACATTCATGCCAGAATAAATTGATTTTGGTCCCATATACTACTACTTGTTTCTGCATGCAGCGCAAGTGCCTGAGCGGGACTTTCGTGTGCAATTTTTTCGATTCGATAATCCCTAAATCTTGTTTATGTACACCTAATCTAATTTCACAATACTTTGAAACTGTTTATTGCGAAATGAAATTGGATGACCAGAACTCCAATAACAGTTTGATTGGAATTGAGATAAGAAAAAGATAAACCAAGTAGAAAATGATGTTAGGATCATGGAAATTAGGCCTATACAGTTTGTAGAAGATTTAGGTCGAACAAATATGAAGATAAGTGTTACTGCAATAATTGCCAATATTGCCTTTGTAAGCAGCTTTGAGTATTTGTCACACCTAATATATGACATTTCTGATGCCACACAGCAACTGATAATCAAGTAAACTAAGCGCAGTCATTTGAATATAGGTATTTAGTTCTATATTAATACATATATTATAAACTGTTATTCCCTCTGTCAGCAGCTTTAAACAATTGACACACCTGATATATGTCATTTTCAATGCCAAACAACAACAACAAACAAAAAGATGTAAAGTTCTTTAGTAATGCGTATAATATTTAATTATTTCCCCTCAGGAACAACACTTGGAACAACCCCTGGCACAACACCTGGAACAACTCCGGGAACCACACCAGGTACTACACCAGGCACAACACCAGGTTAGGTCAAGTTTTGTATGGGGTTTAAAGCTAGACACATAATGGTACTTTCAAGGATAAAGGTTCCCTGTGTGGGTATGAAACGTTATTGCCTCCGTCAACAACTTTGAACATTTGTCACACGTGATATATGTCATTTCCAATGCCAAAAAGCAACTGATTACCATGTCAAATTAAGCGCAGAACTCTTGAATAAAGGTGTATAGTTCTTAAGTTATGCGTATAACATTTATTTTTTTCCCTCAGGAACAACACTGGGAACAACCCCCGGAACGACGCCTGGAACAACGCCAGGAACAACACCCGGAACAACCCCTGGAACAACTGCTGTAACAACGCCAGGAACAACATCTGGAACAAACCCTGGAACAACTCCTGTAACAACGCCAGCTACAACATCTGGAACAACCCCTGGAACAACTCCTGTAACAACGCCAGCTACAACATCTGGAACAACCCCTGTAGCAACGCCAGCTACAACATCTGGAACAACGCCACCTACAACATCTGGAACAACCCCTGGAACGACGCCTGTAACAACGCCAGCTACAACATCTGGAACAACCCCTGGAACGACGCCTGTAACAACGCCAGCTACAACATCTGGAACAACCCCTGGAACGACTCCTGTAACAACGCCAGCTACAACATCTGGAATGACCACTGGAACGACGCCTGTAACAACCCCAGCTACAACATCCGGAACAACCCCTGGAACCACGCCTGTAACAACGCCAGGAACAACATCTGGAACAAACCCTGGAACGACTCCTGTAACAACGCCAGGAACAACATCTGGAACAAACCCTGGAACGACTCCTGTAACAACGCCAGCTACAACATCTGGAACAACCCCTCTAGCAACGCCAGCTACAACATCTGGAACAACGCCACCTACAACATCTGGAACAACCCCTGGAACGACGCCTGTAACAACGCCAGCTACAACATCTGGAACAACCCCTGGAACGACGCCTGTAACAACGCCAGCTACAACATCTGGAACAACCCCTGGAACGACTCCTGTAACAACGCCAGCTACAACATCTGGAATGACCACTGGAACGACGCCTGTAACAACCCCAGCTACAACATCCGGAACAACCCCTGGAACCACGCCTGTAACAACGCCAGGAACAACATCTGGAACAAACCCTGGAACGACTCCTGTAACAACGCCAGCTACAACATCAGGAACAACCCCTGGAACGACGCCTGTAACAACGCCTGCTACAACATCTGGAACAACCTCTGGAACAACTCCTGTAACAACGCCAGCTACAACATCTGAAACAACCCCTGGAACAACTTCTGTTACAACGTCAGCTACGACATCTGGAACAACCCCTGGAACAACTCCTGTAACAACGCCAGCTTCAACATCTGGAACAACCCCTGGAAAAACTCCTGTAGCAACGCCAGCTACAACATCTGGAACAACCCCTGGAACAACCCCTGGAACAACTCCTGTAACAACGCCAGCTACAACATCTGGAACAACCCCTGGAACGACGCATGTAACAACGCGAGCTACAACATCTGGAACAACCCCTGGAACAACTCCTGTAGCAACGCCAGATACAACATCTGGAACAACCCCTGGAACAACCCCTGGAACAACTCCTGTAGCAACGCCAGCTACAACATCTGGAACAACCCCTGGAACAACCCCTGGAACAACTCCTGTAACAACGCCAGCTACAACATCTGGAACAACCCCTGGAACGACGCCTGTAACAACGCCAGCTAAAACATCTGGAACAACCCCTGGAACGACTCCTGTAACAACGCCAGCTACAACATCTGGAACAACCACTGTAGCAACGCCAGCTACAACATCTGGAACAACCCCTGGAACAACCCCTGGAACAACTCCTGTAACAACGCCAGCTACAACATCTGGAACAACCCCTGGAACAACTCCTGTAGCAACGCCAGCTACAACATCTGGAACAACCCCTGGAACAACCCCTGGAACAACTCCTGTAACAACGCCAGCTACAACATCTGGAACAACCCCTGGAACGACTCCTGTAACAACGCCAGCTACAACATCTGGAACAACCCCTGGAACAACTCCTGTAACAACGCCAGCTACAACATCTGGAACAACCACTGGAACGACGCCAGTAACAACGCCAGCTAAAACATCTGGAACAACCCCTGGAACAACTCCTGTAACAACGCCAGCTACAACATCTGGAACAACCACTGTAGCAACGCCAGCTACAACATCTGGAACAACCCCTGGAACAACCCCTGGAACGACTCCTGTAACAACGCCAGCTACAACATCTGGAACAACCCCTGGAACAACTCCTGTAACAACGCCAGCTACAACATCTGGAACAACCACTGGAACGACGCCAGTAACAACGCCAGCTACAACATCTGGAACAACCCCTGGAACAACTCCTGTAACAACGCCAGATACAACAACTGGAACAACCCCTGGAACTACACCAGGCACAACACCAGGTTAGGTAAAGTTTTGTTTGGGGTTTAAAGCTAGACACATTATGATACTACCAAGGATAAAGGTTGCCTGTATGTCATGTGGTTATAAATTGTTATTGGCTCAGTCAGCATCTCTGAACATATGTCACATCTGATATATGTCATTTCCATGCAGGAGTATATGGCACTATTGGGTGCAAATAAAGGGTACGTGATATCGATTTCATTTTCATCTAGCCCTTAACTAATGCTATGGTCACATTACCCAAAAGTAGCCTACTCGGCAGCCGAGCGGCGAGTTTTTAGCCAATTTTGCCCGGCCACCGAGCGGCGGCCGCCCAGGCACCGCTTGTTTTTAAGACATCGCTCGGTCGCTGCTGAATTTTTAGCGCGGAGTTAAAATTTGGGCGGCGCCTGCTCACTTTCACTCGCCGCCCAGACTACGCTCGGTGACCGGGCGGTCCCCAGTTTTAAAAAAACATGCGAGTGTAAGAAGAGAAAAATCGGGTCAATTATCTATAAAAACTTTCGAAATATTAGCCTGCACCATCATCATTTTTATCATTTCTGTCATCGCTCTGTTATAATCATCATCATCAGTATCATTATTATCATCACCATATAAAACCCTAAAATGAGATTGTTATTGTTTTACATTTCCTTTAACAGTTTGTGGAGTTGACGAGTATCCGTGTTTCTTTGATGATACTACATGTTTCAATGCAAGCGATGTATGTGATGGAAAATATGACTGTCCTAGTGGTGTAGACGAATACAACTGTACAGGTACGATTCCTCTTTAACTTTATATTCCCTCCATTTTCCTCTTCATTAATATTTTCATTTTATATGTATATTTTGTTTTAATTATTTATCCATATACTTATTTATTTATTTTCTTTCTCATTTTTATGACATTTATTCATTTATCAATTTATTTATTCAATGACATGTATATATTTCATTTTTACTTGATATCGTTGTTATAAATGTTATTAAATTGGCAATACAGACTGGAATTTATCACTATTGTCATTGCCAATCGGAAAAACTTAGCTTTTTCCGTTGGTTCTGTCAATATGCATATTGGTCTGTCTCACATTTTTTAGTGAAAAAATAAATTACTGGTGCCAATGTGAAGAACAAAAACCGTTTTTTAGACTTTCGGAAAATTCTCAACTACTATGGCTTATTTGAATTTATTTGCCACCTCTTAATTAATTACTTTCACTGGCTTGCCTGTTTTATTCACTTTTCTACTCTATCCTTAGGATGTTTTGCCTGTAGTAATACCTCGACATGTCTGAGTGACCTTCAAGTCTGTAACTTCTATAATGATTGCCCAGCAGGAGAAGATGAAACAGAGGGTCTCTGCAACCACTCTCGATTCATCAGTAAGTTTCTAACAATTACAGGAGGGGGAGACAAAGCTTAATGTCTCCGTGAACACGCTATATTGTGCTAAAATATAAACCTGACCTTTGGTCTAAATTCATATTTGAACAAGGAAGATATACCATATATGTTTTCCTTGTGTTAAACATGAATCTAGACTGATCAAACGGGTTAAAGAAATTAGAAGAATTCCAACCACAGATTTTATCATATATACATGTAGGTCTATGATTATGTTTATGATCGTACATGATGGAAAGATGAAAATATTTGGCGTTGTAAAAACTCTGGCTTAATTTCTCAAAAGGGGTTAAATTCAGTACTTTGTCTAAACTATGTTTAAAAATCCGTTAAATAGGTGTGACTAATAGTATATTAATGGTTTATTGCCCTATAAATGGACCTGACAATAGGAGCTTGCTGCACTTATGGATATTTAAAAAAAGGTTCGTTCAGATATGCTGTTAAAAATCGGGTTTAAAAGGAATTAGTTCCTGCCAGGTACCCATTTACTTTCCTTGGGTGAGTGCGGCAAATGTAGATTAATGTCTTGCTAAAGACACTATAAAGAACTTTAGTACCGTGGCTTAACTCAATCCGCGAACCATGTGATTCACAGTCTGGTGACGTATCCATATGACCACGACACCTAAACGTTTTATGTTTAAATGAATGGAAAATAAGCAAGTTCTTTGAGCTCTTTGTCTTAAATTCTAGAAACGTGAAGCGTATTAGTTGCAGTTGATATCACTGTAAATATTCAACAAAAAAACTGTTTTCAATAGCCTACTCATGCCTGAACAAGACTTTATGAAGAATGTTGGCCTCTACATGATTATAGTCCACAGTCTAGGACCAGTATTAAGCAAATCATTCTAATTTAGTCCAAGTTTATGCATGTATGCATGAAATAAATATTCCATGTAACATATTTGTTAATACTTTTTCTCTGTTTATTTGCTATACCCTAGAAAATGTTGAGATTAAGACCGGAGAGTGGGAGCTCTTTAGTGAAGAATATGTATCAGAGAGGATTCTTGATGTTCGTGATACACCAGCTAGTAACATCTATGATTTTATTCATTATGGCTTCAACTCAGATCCTGGAACCTCACTGTATATGGAGATACAGGTTACCCTTCATTCTTATAACCCAAAACCAAGAACCCAAACCTTAAACCTACCCCTAACCCTCGCCCTGATCATCATCGCCCTTACTCTCAACTTTATCTTCGTCCCCACTCGTGCCTTCACTCTCACCCCAACAATCACCCCCACCCTTACCGGCTTCAACTTCACCCTCACCCTCATCCTATCGCTAGCCCTCGTTTTTACCCTAACCATAACCCTCAATGTCATCCTCACCCTCACCATAACCCTAACCCTCATCCTTCCATAACCCTCACCCTCTCCCTCACCCTCTCCCTCACCCTCTCCCTTACCATTACCCTCCCTTTACCCACAACCTTGCCCTTCGCGCTTCCCTCACTCTAACCCATACCCTCACCATTACCCTCAACCTCACCCTAACCATCACCCTCACCATGACCCTCCCCCTAACCATCACCCTTATCATTACCCTCACCCTCCCCTAACCCTCACTTCACCTTCCCCTTAACCCTAACACCAATCCTACCCTAACCACCACCCTCACCCTAATCCTCACGCTCCCCCTAACCCTCTCCCCATCCTGCATCTAACCCTCACACCAACCCCCCCCCCCCTAACCATCACCCTCGAACCCTCACCCTCCCCTAACTCTCACTTCACCTTCCCCTTAACCCTAACACCAACCCTATCCTAACCACCACCCTCACGCTAATCCTAACGCTCCCCTTAGCCATCACCCTCACCCTTACCCTCACCCTCTCCCTAACCCTAACCATCACCCTCACCCTCACCCTCACCCTCACCCTCACCCTTACCCTCACCCTCCCCCTCATCCTCACCCTCACCCTCACCATTACTCTCACCCTTACCCTCGCCCTCACCCTTACCCTCCCCCTCATCCTCACCCTCACCCTCACCCTCACCCTTACCCTCACCCTCATCCTCACCCTTACCCTCACCCTTACCCTAACCCTCACCCTCACCCTTACCCTTACCCTCACCCTAACCCTAACCCTCACCCTTACCCTCACCCTCTCCCTCCCCCTCATCCTTACCCTTACCCTCACCCTCACCCTCTCCCTAACCCTCCCCCTAACCCTCACCCTCACCATCACCCTCACCCTCACCCTTATCCTCACCCTTACCCTCCCCCTCATCCTTACCCTTACCCTCACCCTCACCCTCTCCCTAACCCTCCCCCTAACCCTAACCCTCACCCTCACCCTTACCCTTACCCTTACCCTTACCCTCACCCTAACCCTAACCATCACCCTCACCCTCACCCTCTCCCTAACCCTAACCCTCTCCCTCACACTTACCCTCACCCTTACCTTCACTCTAACCCTCACTCTCTATATCGAGATACAGATTACTCTTTACTCGTTAAACTGAACAAAAAAACTAAAAACCTTTTGAACAAATTCAAAACAAAAAACAACACCGCCAAGTAACTCTAAAAATGTCCCAAGGGGATCATGCTTCTTTTAAGTTTTTATAAAAATTACCCTTATGATACTGACAACTCCTCATATATTCAATTTTATGAATGAAAATTATTGTAAAATGTATAATGTTGTGTTTGCTTTGGGTCCTTAACGTTTCTGTTTCTCAATCGTTTACTATTGTTTCACACTTCATTTGCTCTCTTCGGCTCTCCGCATGGTCGCTCGTTAACTTTTTTTCGTGGTCGTGATCGTATCATGAAATTATTAGTATTTTCATATCTGCATTGCTTTTATCAATATTTTCTTTATTATTATCATATTAATATTACTATTGTCACGATTATATTGAATCGAATCTTACAATACAGAATTTGACAGTGTCACTGACTGGCCTTCTTGTCCCCCTGGTTCGTGTCTACGCTGGATCTGGAGCTGACCCGACATACCTCAATGCGACCCGAGGATATGTAGATGGATATGGGAATACAGCAAGCATAAGTGACTCCGTGAACTTCTCCCTTACCAATAACACAGGCTTTCTTCTAATTGCGATTCCAAAATCTGTAGTTGGCATCTTCAATATGGACTTCAGAGTCACAGCTATCGGTAAGAAGCATAACTCTGAATCAAGTGTTGGGTTATACGCAGCTATGTCGAGCACTTAAACCAAAGTACATGTACAGGTATTGAGGGTTATATCAATTCATAATCTCGCCAGGCAGAAGATTTTTGTTTCTTTGACGTAGGTCATATTATTCATTCGTATTCATTTAAACGGAGATTTTCCTCAGTTTCCATGTGCGCTAGGTCATAATTCGTTGACACCAGACATGGTTGAAATTAAATTAATGGGTAAACAAGTTATGATCACAGCAAATCCGTAGTCCAATCATGAAATGACCCTCCCTCCCCAGTCTCTTGGAGAGTCCTCAGTTTGAGGGAAATGAATGATATTGACTTTTTCGATATTGGGAATCGTTGGAAAGTGCAGAGTATTACATGAAGCATGGACCTAATAGGTCCATGCATGAAGCCTGTTGGCTATAGAACTGAAGGCTAATCCTTGTGATTGACAACACCTCTAATTGCACAAATACGCGAATGGCGTCGAATTCCCCATGAGAGCTCACTACAATGCATCATTAAGGCACAGGTGTCTACTACAGCTAGGTGTCTACTGAATGTCCTGTCCTTTTGACATATATGATTTATGTAATACATGATGTGAGCTATTTCTAAAAGGACTATTGATGATTCTTCTGTAGAAGAGAACCAGTTCGTAAAATAACTGAAGTTCAAATTGTTCATTGAGTTTTCTTTCGGACTAGTTCTGACAAAAATACTGGAAGAATATTTGTTGGTAGTTTTTTACATAATACTGTATTCGTCGTCAGGAGTGTCTTAATGTTCCTAATGTCAGGCAAAACTGTTTGGTTTTAATATGGCCAAAGGGTTCCTTTTAGAAATATTCCAAAAGAAAACGACTATATGAACTTCAGTTCTTTTCCCCACTGGCTCTTATCAAGAAAAGGACCAGCAGTCCTTTTAAGGACTTCCCAACATGGTGTTATGTAAAAACTTATACATGAGTTTTCTCATCAAGAAAAATGTAAAAGAACACCTTCTTTCCTTTCACAGAATGTGTGAGCCCCGAAGTGGCATGTAATGGCTCCCCTCACTGCTATGACTGGTTAGATGATAGATGTGATGGAGAAATCCAATGTCGGGATAGCCAGGAAGATGAGTATCGGTGTGATGGTAAGATGTAGTTAAGTGAGTCAAACATTTGACTTTAGATGCAAATGTCATGGAGCCAAGCCCTGGCACTGCAGCAGTTGATGGCCTATGGCTATGGCTTACAACGTACAAGATGTTTGATTGTTTTAAGAGGATATCAGAATATGCTGCCAACTTCTTTTCAATCCTGCAACATGCACTCTTAGGTTAAAAATTGCAATATTCATCTGTTAAATGTTGTAACATTTCTGTTAAAGATGGCAACGCTATTGTGTTTAATGTAAAAACGCTCCTATTTTCTAGTTGGTGGTTAGTTTGCAACTACACTGTCGCTCATAAAGTTGGAATATTTTTGTTTCACCCCAATTTATGGAATTATTTAAAAAATAATTTAGAAATAATAGATCTAGATAATAGTATACATTGTCAGATTTTATTGAATAATAATGCGACAATGTGTGTTTTGCGTGACTGCTAAAGCATGTGTATGCTACTATGCTTATCAACTAGGGGACCTACGCCCTTAAGTCATAAATGACAGTAATGAGGATTAATGCCCCACAAAAGGGCACTAATATAGCACATCGACACGGTTTTGATCCTGGGGCCTCGCAGTTACGAGGCCATTGCTTTGTCTCTGAACCATGACTGTACGCAGCGGGGGCTAGTGTAGGGGCAGTTTCCATAAATAAAAAAATCCCAAGAAAATGCAATAAATTTTCAATAATTTATTGCGTCTTACCCCGGTTCCCAACATAAAAAATACTCTGTGTGCCCATGCCTTGGGCCATAATGCATGGCCGTCCAGAGGTTTTTTTTAATGTTGAGGACCAAGGTAAAAAGCAATAAATTATTGAAAATTTATTGCATTTTCTGTTTTTTTTTTAATTTATGGAAACTGCCCCCTACCCTAGCCCCCGCTGCGTACAGTCATGGTTCAGTGACAAAGCAATATCCTCGTAACTGTGAGGCACCAGGATCAAAACCTTCACTTTTTTTTCTTTTTGACCTTTCACTGTACCATCTCCTTTGATTATTAAAACACGTAGAATCGCAAATAATATGATAAACAACCATATTTACTTTATTATTACCCTATTACCACTTGATCCATTACTTTTTGCGTGTAATCCTTATGGGAGATGACTTTTTCTCAAATCTGGATTCTACATTCATGTCTTTTGCGAGCAATATCGCCGTTATTTCGGCTTGATTTTTGTTGATTTTTGAGTATGTTGTAGCTGAGACTATATACTATCTAAATGTTTTCTCATTTTTTCAGTCTGATGTCATCATGGTCTGTTGATGATGATCATCAACAACATCATCATGATCATGATCATCATCATCATCATCATGATCATTATCATTATCATCATCGTCATTATCATCATCATCATTAACATTACCATTAATATCATCATCTAACATTATCATTATCATCATCATCATTAACATTATCATTAATATCCTTCATCTTACATTTTCATTATCATCATCATCATATCATCACCATTACTATCATGATCACCATCATGTTCATCATTATCATTATGATCATCATTTTTTACTTGTCTATATAACTTCTCCCTTTCTCTATATAGTAAATATTCAAATCTATCATAAGTCTAAAAACAGACCACCTTATTTGTCAAAGTGACGAATTAAAAATCTAGTTATTATTCCCATTTTCAGGTATTACATTACATTCCTCACAATCTGCCATTATTTGTAATTTAAAGACCCCCATGAGTATGAACTTACACAAGTGAATAAGACTTTTTGAAAAGGAAAGAAAGGGCACCCATAGGAACCTGTAGAAAATAAGTCAACGAGACCAAAGTCAATGTGCTGCACCAGGGGGAGATGTCAGGCAAAAAAGACTTGTCTCTCAGTGTTTCGAATTCCGACATGGCACTTATATCCTTTGGCAAGATATTAACCTATACCTGCTACTCTCCACCCGGGTGTTAAATGGGTACCCGGTAGGATGCGACCGTCATTGTTGGTCAAACATTTTATAAGCGTCAAGTAACGCCTGGCTAGAATACTCCCCAGGGTCAGTGGCAATCCAAATACTCTTCGGATATGATTCGAATTAACAATAAGACGTCTTAGGAAAATCCACACAGCCAAAACGTATATCATTCAACAATGACAATCAATTTGGCATGTAGTGATATTGCATATCTTCTCCATTACTTCTCCACCTCTCCTGAATAAAGAACATTTGAATGAGAAAGATACCCAATTAGGGAATGTGACAAGGTGAAAGGCTGTTAACTGTTGCCTCAAAACAAAATAAGTATCTCCTTATTTTCTACTTATTTTATTATAATATTTTTATTTTTATTCTTCATTTGAAGGAAACGTGTTGATGGTCAGAGTTGCTAATAATCATAAGAGATTATTATCAACTGTAAGGATTAAGAAGTAAGAATGATAGACTTATAAGACTCTGTATATATATATTAAGGATATATTGACTGCTTTGAGAGGCATAGTGGTTTCTATAGGGTCAAGGGAAACTCACAACCTGCTATGACCCCAAGGCGCTTGCGCCGCGGGGTCATAGCAGGTTGTGAGTTTCCCGAGACCCTATAGAAACAACTATGCCTCGAATATTAAAAGCAGTCAATATATATTTTATATACCGAAAAAATGGAAAATGTTGACTCACCCATTTAGGTTTCCATCTCTTTGAAGTCATGAATATTAACACCAACAATAACTTGTGTACAGTATGAAATCCAACAAGCTGTGCTCCAGTAGAACAGGGAATACCAAACACGTTTACACGAACAGTAACTTTTGTACAGGATGATATCACCAACAAGCTGTGCTCCAGTAGAACAGTAGAACATGAACAGTAACTTTATAAATTCACAAATTCGCAACATATTTACACAGACTGTGCGTCTAGTCCAGGTCTTGTCCAGGTCTGCATTCGGAAGTCTGTTTACATCTCCGAGGTCCGTGTTGACATTTCGCAAGAACTCTTCAAATATTTTAATGCCGTATTTTACTGCATACTTCGTATTTTTGCTATCAGCAGAATCGATTAAGTCTTGCAGCTGAATGTCATCCATAAGTTGAAATCTTGGCATAGCTGTGTCCTCCATTTTGCCTCTTTATTGACAAAAAATTGGAAACAAAAAACCCCAGTATTTTGCGATCGAGACTAGTACACAAAATGGCGATCGGTCGTCTGCGCTGCGTCGATTGGTAGATTCGTCGCCTGAATGCAGCGACCAAAATCGAATTGCACTCAAACACCGTTAACGGTATTGCGCATCGGTCATCGCACAAAAGAAACTTATACGGTAACACGTAAACCAAAATGGGGATCGCAGCAAAATGACGTCACGTTTCACAGCCATGGAAAAAGTGCTATGAAAAATTGATATAAACCGGTAGAGCCGGGGAAAATGACTATGAATTTCAATTAGCGGGCATGGTTAAGAACATGACTGCATTTTCAACCAATCAGAAGACAGGATTAGTAAAGAATCTTAAAATGAGGTATATAAATATATATATATATATATATATCTCACATTTGTATAGGATTTATTGAAATCAAATCAAATCACATCAACGACCCAGAACAAACAATCCGAAGACTGTCGACACTTGTCTTGTGTACAAGTTCAACATACAATTAAAATCAAGTATACATAATTAAATGGCAGTAAAGAATACATTAATGAATTACATAGGTTAAAATATCAAATAATTATATCATCACTGAATAAAGGTTAACAATACAGACAAAAATAAAGTAGTAAGTAGTGAAAAGTAAGCTTAAACAAAATGTAAAGAGCTGACAAAATTAAAAGCTCACTGCTGCTGGAGAGCGCCCTCTCTCTCTCCTTCTCTCTCTTGCTCGCTCTCTCTCTCTCTCTCTCTCTCTCTCTCTCACGTATCCTTATGTTTGCACTTTGTTGTTCTGTATTCCCCTTATGGCCTGTGGATCAGTAATTTTTGTCTACCATCTTGATACCAACTTCTCGTGATATGTATCTCTCCCATTACATATCAGTATTTTGTTAATGTTGGAAAGCTCGTACGAATGAATAAAAATTGCCATTAAAGTCACATAAGTGCGCTTTGTAAAAGTGTAGCATCATCATTACATGCACCATCATTATATTTAGGTTGATGATCATTGTCATTTTTAATGTTGTTGTTATTACTATTCACATTATCATCCACATTATCATATCAGTATTATTAATATTAATATTATCATTCTTCTGAATATTATCATTATTATTAGTTTAATCATCATCATCATTATAATTATTGTTTCTATCATTATTATAACTGTTGTTGTTGTTGTTGTTATCACTCATATTCTCCACTCAGCTGACAAAATCTTTATAACGGATGTGTTAGATAGCAAGATCTTTGTGGGCGAGAACAGTGGCTTCGACTTCCACGGCGAGGACATCCGCGAAATCCCACTGAACGGGGTTGAAGCTCCTACTGGTATTGACTACGATTACCGGACCGACGAGATTTACTGGAGTGATGAGGATGCGAGGACAATCAATCGAGCTTCACTTGATGGTTCGAACCAGGAAATATTGATTGAAGGCATTGGATGTGAGTGTGGCTTAGATATAATATATATTCATTCGTTCATGTATTTATTTGACTATTTATGTATATATCCATATATTTATTTATTATATTTGTTCGTTGATTTGTTAAATATTTCATCATTTATTGTTTATGTAATCATGTATTAAATAAGGTTTATCCATTCTAGCTCTATTTTTGTTTTGTTTAAAATCAATTTGTTATATTTGTTTATGTCTTTAGGCTTTTTCTCCAATGATATATATGCCATTTAAAAAATCATTTAGATTTGTTCTATCAATCAGAGTAATGGCATCCTAATATTCATACTTAATATGGTGCAAATTAAATCTGGACAGTGACGTTTGCGTATCGTCAGTCATCGTGCTATCCACCCTGGGGTTTGTGCATCATTGTGCTGCAAACCAAAATCAATCAGATTTGTTTCTGGCCCCTTTAATGATATCGTTTTGGTCAAATACAGTCCAGCACTTTTTTTTGTTTTCATCTCTGTAAATGTACTTTTTTTTTTTTTTTTTTTTACATTCTAATTTATCCATTCAGACCCGCAAGGAATCGTCCTAGATTTAATGACGAACAGGATGTTTTGGACTGATACTCTTTTGGAACAGATAGTGAGTGCTAGCCTACTCGGGTCTAACCGACGAACCATTATAAGTACGGGTCTTTATCTCCCATGGGGAATCACATTGTCTCAAAAAAGAGGGTGAGTGTAAATGAAAAACGTGCCATCTCTCTTTCTCTCATAGACAGCTATTTGTTTTTTCTAGATCTCTGCCTGTGTGTCTGTCTACTCTCTGTCTCTCTATCACACACACACACGTACGCGCGCACACACACACACACGCTAGTAAGCTATCCACCCCATTTCTCCCCCTCTATCCTTCTCTTAACATAGTTCGTAATCTACCACCTAGTTTCCTCCCTCTCTCCCTTTCTCTCTATCTTTCGCCCCGATATCATTGCATCTGAAAAACGACATCCGATACCTCCCCCATTCGAAAAATGTAAATATAAATACACACATACGCACACACACCCACCCGGAAAACAAACACACTCACGCACACGCACATATACACACACGCCCACAAACACATCGCGACACCCTATATCTATATATATATATATATATGTATAAAAATATAAAACATATGAACATTGAAAGCAAACATTCAAAGGCCAATACAAATTAGTGCGCAATCAACCTGACCAATATGAGACTAAACGGTCTGTGCGTGGGTGGTTTAATGGTTGTATGTGTGGGTGCATACCATCCACTCTCAACGGAGTTATTCAACCACTGCTTTTGGAGTGGATTCCACTCCAAAGTCGCTTATCTCTGATATCAATCATTTCTTACATCTACAATGACATGTTTATACACATAGTTCACATACACATTTTTTAGATACGGGCAAATCATTTTTTTTTCCTTTTTTTTTCTTATGGTGAAAGGAAATTGTACTGGACTGACGAAGGTATATCAACTGGAAAGATTGAGATGTCAAATAAAGACGGATCGGACAGAAGACAGTTGGTTACAGCACGCTTGAGAGAACCTAGGGGCCTGGCCCTTGATTCTCAAGGTATACAAGAAAAATCTTCGATGGTATCACTTCATGTTCAAAATTGTAAATACATAATCGTCAATGATGATGATTACTTATTTTAAGTAAAATGTAAATACTGTATACACGAAGACGATGTGAATTGATATCACCTGGATATAGAAATAGTTTCTACTCTGGTCGTTCAAAATAACATAGAATTAAGGTTTAGTATATACTTTTCGGATGTTTGTTAGAAATCTTGCCCCCAAAGGAAGGGGAAATGGGCATTTATGAGCGAACTCATCGGAGGTACAAAAAAGGGCACTTATGAGAAGGGGTACTTACGTGAAGAAAAAGGAGCACTTCTCTGAAATAAAAAGGGGCACTTTTGGGGTACTTTACAAAATAGGGAGAGGGGAGGGACAGTTTTTATTATCATTAGTTATCAGGTCGCTGCTAATTATTTATTAACTACCAGACTATTTTTTTCAACTCGTCTTCTGCAGAACAGCGCCTGTACTGGACGGAGAGCTACTATGATGTGATCGAGTCGATTGATCTTGATGATCTATCTGATCGAAAAGATCACTTTTACGCTGAGAGTGGTGATTTAGAGGTCTTTGGCATCTCTCTCTATTTCACCTCCATCTACTTCACAGACTTCGCATCTAGAGGTCTCCATGAGGCAGACATTGGAGTTGAGGAAATCAGGGATATTACTGGATTTTCAGCAGAAGCGCCTACCCATGTCAAGATTTATGCCGGTAGGATGAAAAAAGAAGATCTAAGAGGAAAACTTCGATCAGAGTTATTTTGAGTACAAGTTAGATTATTTTGATTATTTATCAGGTGGGCTGTATATCGTACAGACCACCTTATAATTTCGTTAGAATTGCCTTTATTATTTATTCTTTATTTTTCTTATTTCTAACCAGGTGACCCCAATTTATTTTTATATTTTAATAGAGTAGGAGTTGGAGATATTGTTTCACGTCTTATTTGATGCTCAATTAACTCATGACGTCATCATAATGGCCTCCGAACTCTTAGTTCCAATTTGCATATTGTGATGTCAGCATATTTATTGAAAATTGATTGTATCTCTGTAAATGTTGATAATTTTCTTTCAAATTTTGATATGTTCTAGCTGAGACAATTTTCTACAAATGCAGATGCTATTATTCTTCCTTTTGACAAAGGCATCATGGCGTATTTTCGCGATTAAAGGAGGCATGTCAATTTTTCACATTTTGCGTGTATTCTCTATGGGACATGACTTTTTCTCAAAACTCGATTCTACATTCCCGTCTTTCGCGAGCAATATCTTTGTCGTTTTAGCTTCGTTTACGCTGAACTTCAAGTATGTTGTAGCTGAGACAATAAGATATCTCATATGTGCCCTTTATTTTGTCTCGATTTTTTGTTAGATCAGCCCACCTATACTTGTTCCAAACAAGTATTACAAATCTAGTTTTTATTATTATTCTTTATGAATAAAATTCTTTATGAATAAAGCTATTATATTCAGAAACTGAAGTTAAACTATGTTGTCTTTGTTTTTCATTTAAGAATTTTAAACAGGAACAATAATGATAAATAATAGGATATTAATCATGCTACTACTACTACTACTACTACTACTACTACTACATGTACTACTAATACCATTACTACTAATAATAATGATAATTATAATGATAATAAAAATTATAATAAATAGATTGACGTCATGGGTGTCGATCTGTAACTGATACCTATTCATCAGGGGGGGATGATCTATTCATTCATCCCCCCTTGATGAATAGGTATTACGTAAGGATCGACACCCATGATTGACGTACTTGACTTATGCCGTCCATGCCGGAAGGAGACCTCGTGATGGCTTCCGTATGGTGATGATATGCAAGGTATTTCTGTCTGCAGCCAGTCTTGATGCATCTGTCAGCCTTGTTATGGATCTTGCTTTGCAGTCCTCTGAGATGCAGTCAAGCCATCTTTTCGGTAGACGGCCTCTTGGTCGATTTCCTCTGATGTTTCCTTCAACAGCAATTTTGGGGTACCTTGTAGGTTTCATTCTTAGGACGTGGCCAAAATATTCATGTGTGTGTTTCGGATCTTGTCTTTCCTTGTCACCCCCGTTATGCAACGGAGGCATGCAGGGCCATTTCAAACACCTGAAGCCTTTTGCTATCTTCTTTTCTTACTGTCCAGGATTGTGCCCATGAAGCAGTATTAAGAGGATAAGTGTTTGATACAGTTGCATCTTTGTGTGGCTACCAAATCTTTTTTTGATGTCCAGATGTTATTTAGTCTCTGGAAAGCTGCCCCTGCTTTCCTGATTCGATTGTTAATGTCACTTAAACTTGAGCCGTTTTCTGCTATTGTTCCCTCGGTTACACGAAATCTTCCACCTGTTTTAGTCTGTCGCTAGCTATGTAAATGTTGAGGTTGCACTTCATTTTGATGATAACTTGTTCACCTTGAGACCAAGGTCACAGCTTAATATAGATAAAAGTGTGGCAATAGAAAATCAGTTAATAATATTGAGAAATCAAAGTTGAATATATTTGTTCTTCGATTGGAAAATCTGAACTGTAATTGATCTGAGCCTTTGCGTATTACAAGTGTATAACAAAATAATTAGATTATGTTTTTTCTTTTAAATCTACAAATCTGGAAGCTATATATTTAAGTCCTTTGACAACGGAGCTTTGAAAGCGGAATTGTTTACCTGAAGAGCCTTAAACACGGATGCTGTCTAATTTCTCTAAATCGCACTCCCTTTAATATTTCAATAACGCTTCTCACATGAAATTATCTTAATTGATTCATTTTCAGACTTAACGTGCCCAGTTAACGAGTCTTGCCCCGGTAACAGTCGATGTCAGCTCGTGGCGTATAACACTCCCGAGTGCATTTGTATAGTGGGTTGGAAAGACTTGAACTGCCTTACAAGTAAGTAAATGCTGTATTTACATATTTACAATATGGCTCAACTATGAACAACCTACCTTCATTAGAGTTAAGCTACCTGACACGTGCACGAATTTCAGCCCCGTTTGCTCTGTGCGACAATCGATAGACGTTCGAGAGACAATAGGGACTTTTAGATTTGCACGTCGACATAGTGGACTGCTACGTGTAACGTCCTTTTACGGCACTGCCATTGCCTTAAAAGGACGTCACACGTAACAGTCCACTATGTCGACGAGCATATGTTTAAAGGATCATATTCAGGAGACAACCGAGAGAGAGAGCCTAGAGCCAACCGAGAGATGGTCCTTTTTAGAAGACATCGAATGTTCGTCGTTAACTATACAGGTTCCACAGGGATAGCCCCTGCCTCCCTGGTTGCTTATCAAGGAATAGTAGATATTAAAGTGTCATACTCATAGAACTTGACATTTCATCTAATTCAAGCTCTAAATTCTATCAAATTTTTTTAAGTATACTATTCTTCAATGATTCGGTAACACATGGAAAACGAACCTTAGATTTCCCCATAGATTATTGGACAAAATACATTATCGTTAAGGCACAAAATATTAAAAAACTGGAAAATAATATTGTGCATTTTTCAGCTGTCGTTTTACGCAATTTAAATGGCCCAAATTTCTGTTTGTGTGTCGTTGTTCTTCTTTTGTGGGTTTGTGTTGTTGGTGTTGTTGATTTTATTTTGTTTTTACTTTGTAGGAATCACATGTACTCTCCCGAACCCACCGCCGATGTCGTCTTTCGTAAACACCAGCGATAGCTACACGGCTAGTACCACTGTGACTGTTACGTGTGACAATGGCAATGACCAAGCTGAGTGGATTTGTAACGCTTATACGGGAAACTGGGACAAAGAGCCAATCGACTGCTCCGATCAGTCTTCAGGTATTCTTTAGCTCTTTAAAAAGATAATGGTCACAACAACAACACTATAAATAATGATGATAATTGTGATACTGATAACAATAATAATAATAATGATAATAATGATCAGCATCATTATAACAATACAAACAGAAAGAAGAAAAAGAAGAAGAAGAAAAAGGAGAAGGAGAAGAAGAGGAGAAGGACGAAATAGAAGAAGCAGAAGAAGAGGAAGAAAAACAAGAACAAGCTGAACAAGATAACGACAAAAGAGAAAGAGAAGATCATGATGTAAGACTATGGTCCTGCTTACCAAGAGTATCCTAATCAGTAGTAATACTGCTCTTCTGGAGGGCCCTGCAATCGTGTTCATACCCCTGCCTCATCGTCTGGCTACTATCTGGATTTAAGACGTCAGGCATTAATTTCAGTGAACTTGTTCCTACTAAGTACCTTGTTTGCTTCTCCTGGGTGAAGAATAGCAATCGTAAAAAAATGTCTTGCCACATTTATGACTTGGTAGGAATTTGAACCCTGACGTTGGGGGCGTAAGTTGGCCACATTGAGACATAAAGAAAATCTACGAGACTGCTCTTTTTTTGGAAAACTATTTGTTTAAACCTTCTTTAATAAACACGTTGAAATTAATGAAATGCGGAGAATATCATTTGTCTTTTATTAATAGCTTAAATAGGCGTGGAATGTAGTTTATGCTTTTTCTTTTTTCAGCATCTTAAACAAATAAGAAAAGTTCCTGAAACCTCTTTCCTGCCAATTTCAGGCACATTAGGTATAGTATTTGAGGTTATGAATTTTGTTGCCTGATACAGGTGTGGCAACTAAGCAGCAGAAAGTGCTACTGCTATGCTTAGGGAAAGTTGATTTGTGTCGTGAAAACGTATTGCTCTGGATAAACTTGATGACAATATGAAGTTTAAACACATTTTTGGGTTACACCCACTCAGGCGCGTACGCAGGAATTTTTCAAGGCGGGGGGGGGGGGGGGGGGGGGGTTTAACATTTTTAAATCGGGCCGAAAATTTTGCAACGACTCAGCCAGCCGCTGAGGGGGGGGGGGTGGGGTAAGAGAACACTTTTTTTTTTTTTGGTCTCGAAATTTGAAAATTTGACATTTTGCTCCGTTCGGGGGGGGGGGGGGGGTAAGGTAGAGGGGTTGTAGGGGGGTTTATACACATAAAAATACCAAATGGGGGAGGGGGTTAACCCCCAAAACACCCCCTCCCCCCGCGTACGCGCCTGCTGTACAGGGTCAACGGTCATATATTGTTTCAATCTATCTTCCCAAGATCCATGATGATCAAGGGGACACAATTTAAACTTGACATATAGATAAATCATAATGGGAGAAGCATTTTATAAAATAATATATCGTGTTATACATTATTCGTTATTTAAACCATTATTATACGTAACACCTAATTCGTCTAAGTGACGGATTAAAGTCTAGTTAGGTGATACGTATGAAATATACGTATCACCTTTTGATTTCGTCAAGATTTTTATTATTTATTTATTTATTATTTATAAGTTGATACGTATGAAATATACGTATCACCTTTTGATTTTGTTAAAATTTTTATTATTATTATTTATTTATTATCAGGTGGGCTGTATAACGTACAGACCACCTTATAATTTCGTTAGAATTGCCTTTATTTATTTATTTATTATTCTTTATTTTTCTTATTTCTAACCACTTTTTTGTGGACAAGATAACTTGAAAATGGCTATAAACAAATGCCTTGAAATTTGGCACACATAGGTATAGGATATGTACAAAGCACAGATTTTTTTTCAACCTTGACCTTGACTGATGACGTCATCTAGGCGCCATTTTGTAAAATTTTCTGAAAATCAACTCATGATCATATCTTCATAACCAAAAGGTATTTCTGATTCATATTTATCATGATCAAGGTCAATATCCGTCCGGTCAATTTAAGGCCAAAAAACGTGCGCGTGCGCGTACGTCCGCGCGTCAATGCACGCGTAAAATTTTGAAATGTTCAAAATCATCTCAAAATCATTTTGCTTACGTTTAAGGTCATTCTAAGCATTTTATAAAAAATCGCGCACACGCGCATGCGTGCGCGTTTTCGCGCGTAAAACTATTGCACAACATAGAATCGCCAATTTTTTTCTTTCATAATATTCCACATATTTTTACAAACAAATTGATAGTATGTTTTTCTCTTTATGACTATTAATGACGGAATGGTCGACCGTTAAACATAAATTTCCGTGCGCGCGAGCTCTTGTAATACATAGCATATATGGGCAAAAACATGCCTATGCAAAATCCATTGTAGCTCTTTAGGATGCAAGGTGACCCCAATTTTTTTCATATTTTGATTAAGTATGAATTGGAGATATAATTTTTTGTCTCATTTGACCCTCAATTAACTCATGACGTCATCATAATGGCCTCCGAACTCAAAATTTTAATTTGCATATTATGACATCAGCACATTTATGGAAAATTGATTGTATCTCTAAAAAATATTGATTGATTTTCTTCCAAATTTCGATATATTCTAGCTAAGACAATTTTCTACAAACAAAGTTCTACTAATCTTCATTTTGACAAAGGCATCATGGCGTATTTTTGCGATTAAAGGAGGCATGTCAATTTTTTACATTTTGCGTGTATTCTCTATAGGACACGACTTTTTCTCAAAACTCGATTCTACATTCCCGTCTTTCGCGAGCAATATCTCCGTCGTTTTAGCTTCGTTTACGCTGAACTTTGAGTATGTTGTAGCTGAGACAATTAGCTATCTAACGTGTGCCCTTCATTTTGTCTCAAACTTTAGTTGGACCAGCCCACCTATACTTGTTCGAAACAATTATTACAAATTTAGTATTTATTTATTTTTCTTAATTCTCGCCACTTTTTTGTTAGCACGATAACTTGAAAAGTATCTAAATCAAATAACTTGAAATTTGGCACACATATGTATAGGCATATAGAGAAATCACAATAACGTTTTCCACCTTGACCTTGACTGATGACGTCATCTAGGCGCCATTTTGTGAAATTTTCTGAAAATCAACTTATGATCATATCTTCATAACCAAAAGTAATCAGGTGGGCTGTATCTAATACAGACCACCTTATATTTTTGTTTAAATTGCCTTTATTATCAGGTGGGCTGTATATCGTACAGACCACCTTATAATTTCGTAAGAATTGCCTTTATCAGGTGGGCTGTATAACGTACAGACCACTTTATAATTTCGTTAGAATTGCCTTTATTTATTATTAAATATTTTTCTTATTTCTAGCCACTTTTTTGTTGGCAAGATTACTTGAAAATGGCTGAATCAAATGCCTTGAAATTTGGCACACATATGTATAAACATATGTACAAAGCACAGAAATTTTTTGAACCTTGACCTTGACTGATGACGTCATCTAGGCGCCATTTTGTAAACATTTTACGAAAATCAACTCATGATCATATCTTCATAACCAAAAGGTATTTCTCATTCATATCTATCATGATCAAGGTCAATATCCGTCCGGTCAATTGCAGGTCAAATAACGCGCGCGTGCGCGTACGTCTGCGCGTCAATGCGCGCGTAAAATTTTGAAATGCTCAAAATTGTCTCAAAATCATTTTGCATACGTTTTAGGCCATTCTAAGCATTTTATAAAAAATCGCGCACACGCGCATGCGTGCGCGTTTTCGTGCGTAAAACTATTGCACATCATAGAATCGCCATTTTTTTCTTTCATAATATTCCACATATTTTTACAAACAAATTGATAGCATGTTTATCTCTTTATGACTATTAATGACGGAATGATCGACCGTTAAACATAAATTTCCGTGCGCGCGAGCTCTTGTAATACATAGCATATATGGGCAAAAACATGCCTATGCAAAATCCATTGTAGCTCTTTAGGATGCAAGGTGACCCCAATTTTTTTCATATTTTGATTAAGTATGAATCGGAGATATGATTTCATGTCTCATTTGACCCTCAATTAACTCATGACGTCATCATAATGGCCTCCGAACTCAAAATTTCAATTTGCATATTATGACGTCAGCATATTTTTGGAAAATTGATTGTATCTTTGTAAAAATTGATCGATTTTCTTTGAAACTTTGATATGTTCTAGCTGAAACAATTCTCTACAAATACAGTTCACACAATTTTTCATTTTGACAAAGGCATCATGGCCTATTTTTGCGATTAAAGGAGGCATGTCAATTTTTCACATTTTGCGTGTATTCTCTATGGGACATGACTTTTTCTCAAAACTTGATTCTACATTCCCGTCATTCGCGAGCAATATCTACATCGTTTTAGCTTCATTTACGCTGAACTTCGAGTAAGTTGTAGCTGAGACAAAAAGCTATCTCAAATGTACCCTTCATTTTGTCTCAATTTTTTATTGGATCAGCCCACCTATACTTGTTCCAAACAAGTATTACAAATCTAGTTATTTATTTATTTATTTATTTATTATATATTTTTCTTATTTCTAACCACTTTTTTGTTGGCAAGATAACTTGGAAATGGCTCAATCAAATAACTTGGAATTTGGCACACATATGTATAGGCATATGTACAAAGCACAATAACGTTTTCAACATTGACCTTCACTGATGACGTCATCTAGGCACCATTTTGTAAAATTTTACGAAAATCAACTCATGATCATATCTTCATAACCAAAAGGTATTTCTCATTCATATTTATCATGATCAAGGTCAATATCCGTCAGGTCAATTTCAGGTCAAATAACGCGCGCGTGCGCGTACGTCCGCGCGTTAATGCGCGCGCAAAATTTTAAAATGCTCAAAATCGTCTCAAAATCATTTTGCATACGTTTTAGGCCATTCTAAGCATCTTATAAAAAATCGCGCACACGCGCATGCGCGCGCATTTTCGCGCGTAATACTATTAGACACCATAGAATCGCCATTTTTTTTTCTTTCATAATATTCCACATATTTTTACAAACAAATTGATACCATGTTTGTCTCTTTATGACTAT